TGTAATTAAATCATCCTTTGATCAATGACTTGTTTAACCTCTATCTGGGGCTTGACTATAAACAGTAGCAATTCCAGAATTTCTACATAGGTGCAGGCAGGCAATCTGCTTACACAGAGGATCTTTGCTTCCATTTCTTAGTACTTGAGAAAAGCTGGAGAAATGTCCATTTAACACAAAATGCAAACAGAGATTGTTATCCTCACCCCCTACCTTCTGTTCCCTATCTGTGGCACTACCACTAAGTATGAGAATATGCTCCATAGGAGCAAAATAGTCTCTCTCTCTTTCTAAAATAAGCTTATTTTTATTTACAAGTTTTTTATTCTCCCTGCCTTTTTTTTTTTTTTTTGAGACTGGGTCTCCCTGTAACCCCAGCTAGCCTGGAACTCATTATTTAGACTAGGCTGACCTCAGTCTCTCAAAGATTTGCCTGCCTCTGCCTGGAGTGCTAGAATTAAAGGCCTGCACCACTACACCCAGCAAGTTTATCTCTTTTATCACTGTAATCCAAACACTTGGCAGAGTGCCTGATGCACAGGAAGTACATAATCATTTTTTATACAATTAATACATAAATGATACCTTGGACTTCTTATCTGTAAAAGAAAGACAGTAAGACCAGGATAAGGCTTTGTTTTTCTCTTTTTCTTGAGACAAGGTCTTACTATGTAGCTCACTCTGCCCTCAACTTCACTATGTAGCTATATAGCCCAGGCTAGCCTTGAACTCACAGTAATTCTCCTGCCTCAGCCTCTCCAATGCTAAGACTTACAAAGGTAAACCAGCGCCGGGTGTGGTAGTACATGCCTTTAATCCCAGCACTTGGGAGGCAGAGGCAGGCAGATCTCTGTGAGTTCAAGGCCAGCTTGGTCTACATAGTGAGTTCCAGGACAGCTGGGGCTACAGGGAGACCATCTTGAAAAGACAAAAAAAACAAAAAACAAAAAACAAAAAACAAAAACCCTAAAGGTAAACCAGCAGGGCTTTTCTTTTTTTTCAGCACTGGGGGTTGAGTTCAAGGCTAAGCAAGTGCTGCTCGCCCACTGTTCTATATCCGTAGCCCTATTTAATGTTTACATGGAGACAGGGGCTTCTCTAAGTTGCCCATGCTAGTTTGAATTCACTCTAGCTCAAGCAGGACTTGAAGTTGCAATCCTTCCTGTCTCAGCCTCCTCAGTAGTCAGAATTGCAGGCCTACACGACTAGGTCTGGACAGGATATAGCTTTCTAAAGAAATATTACAAAAGCTGGAGATGGTGTAGATCAGTGGTAGGAATCTTGCCTACTATCTGCAAGGCCCTGGGTTTGATCCTTAGCACCACAAAAAAATTTGTTTTAAAGAAATGTTAGTGCTGGGAATGGTGGTACATGCTGTAATCCTAACACTAGAAAGGGATAGAGGCAGGAGAATGCAGAGTTGAAGGCTCCATAATGAGAGACTCCAGCTCAAAACAAAAACAAGAAAAAAAAAAGTAAGATTACATATGAAAGCACGGTGAGTAGGAAAACACAGAATTAGCAAACAGTTAAGTGTTTTATAAATGTCTGTCATTGAATTAGAACTGCTGCCTCCCTCATTCCATAAACTCATCTCCAGGGTCCTTGAAAAAAGGACAAAGACGAGAACTTAACCCATTCCACTGCCCAGTCCATCATCTAGAGGGGATAAACTACACTTGCATTGGGGCTGGTGGAAAGACAGTCATTATAATGGGCAAGCATGAACTGAACGGTTGTTAGGCTCTGCATATACCAGAAAAGTTATTCCTAGGGCAGACACTGGACAGTTTGAAATGAACAGTCAGCTGACTTAGATCAAAACTCTAGCACATGCCCAGTCTCACAGCTGCCCAACTGGTAAGAGTGAATGTGATGCCTTCCACCTTCTGAGGAGCAAATGTTCTGATCCCCTATCATCTTTCATTCTGTCTTCTCACTCCCCAAAACATCAGCCTCAGGACTGTGGAGAGGTTAAATGCATAAATCAACATGTCACACCCTGCTTAAAACCTTCATGGCATCTGAACTCTTCATCAGTCCCCCCATAGCCTCACAGCCTGACAGCTGTGACCAGAGACTTTCTAAGTTGTCCGCATGCCAGGGTTTTGCCCATATGTATGTAGCAGGGCCTCCATCCATGGTGCTTCTGTTTAATTCGTGCTTTAACCCTCCCTCAGACTCACTTCTCAGTCCCAATGCACAACCACAGGCTTCTCTCAGAGATACTTTCTGATACTCAAATCAACATGTCACCCATGGGACTAGGAAGATGGCTCACTCAGAAAAGGGCTTGCCCTACAAGCACGAAGAAGACCTCAGTTTGGATCCTCAACACCCATGTTTTTTTAAAAAGCCATGCATTTGTAATCCCAAGGGTGAGCTTCAGGTTCAGGAAGAAACCCTTCCTCAAAAAATAAGGTGGCAAACAACTGAGGATGACGCTTAATGTTGACCTCTGGTCTCTACATACAAACACATATGCATACCTTTTCCACAAGTACACACACAGGAACACACACACACACAAACTCCATTCAGGTGTCATCCCCATGCCCTCAAATAGGGTTGACTTTTCTCTCTGAACACTTGTCAGAGCTCAAATTGCATAGAGTATCTGTCTCCTAAAAGACTGAGCTTCACAAGGGCAAGGAGGGACATGTGTCCCTCACCATGAGTCCCCAGTCAGGGCAGGCCACAGCACAAGTCTGTCTATGGAACAAATTCCTCATAATTGCTGCCAGTGTCCCTCAAGCTTTGATCACAGGAGATAGACATCACAGCCCTTCCCAGCTGGGGACTGGGTGCTCCTGCCCCACCTCCTTGCCTTGTGCTGGGCTTTCCTACTTTAGGAAGCTGAGAAAAAAGCCACGAAGTGGAACCCCCATCTTTTGACTAATTCCTTATTAAAGGAGACAGGACAGCACCCCATCCACCCACATCTTCCAGTTTACAAAAGGATTTATTTATTTTCATCCTTATAACTGTCTGAGCAAGGACCATGAATTAACACTAGCTGGAAAAATTGTCCTTGTTTTAACTGCTTAAATGACAAGCAAGAAACAGGTTTATAGGATTGTGATGCACAGAAGGGTTACAGGCAAAGTCGAGAGAACTGAACTGCAAAGACCATGGAATTCAGCACAATTTAACAGAGCTTCTATTCATCAGATGCAGGACTTTAGGCCTCAATTTCTAGATCTGACAAATGGGAACAGTGATAGTGAACTTCAATACCCTCTTCCGGCGGAAGTACTGAAAAGCTACAAAAATCTCCTGCTGTCCTGGTGAAGTTTTCCCCTAGGCTTCAGAAAGAGGCTTTGGCCCTGAAAGGATGCTGAGGTGTCCTAGGGGATTGTGCTGTGACCCCCAGAAACTCGTAAGTAACCAATCCGAAGTCAGAAGACATTTTAACCTAGGGTACGATGACCTTGGGTTCTGGGCTGGGCTGCTTATCTGGCCAGACCTCACCCCGGGCCGCGTCTTTCATTGGTTCCTCTGACCGCAGGCAAGCAGTCTTATGATAGCATAGGAGGAAAAAAGAGCCTCCGCACGCGAGAAACCCGAACACCAGCAAGACACACCTTACTGGGGATTCAGACTCAGCCCCAGCTTTTCACTGCATCAAAGCCACCCCAAACCTCTCTGAAACCTGGCCGGAGCTGGCAGGCCTGTTGGAGCTTCCAGCTCTCAGGAGTCAGGCCTAATACCGGGGGCTTCTCTTTTCACTGGCTTGAGGTAACAGCCGCCCCCACCACCACCACCTCCACCACCATTAACAGCAAAGAAAGGCTCTCCGGCTATTTCCATTTCCTCTGCGGCTCAAGAGCCCTGTTATTTAATCCCGTGGCCACCCCGGCAGCATCCTGGCGCGGCCGGCTCCACCCATCCACCTGGCCAGTTCACCATAGCTCCCTTTTCCTTTAGGGGAACAGGCAGAGGCAGAAGCGGAGGGGCAAAGAGGAAAACTGCCTACAGCAGCAAAGGGCCGTGGGCCACAAGATTACACAGGCCAGCGTCTTCTGAAGGCTGGGAGACACCAGCGCGAGCAGCCAAGGGGGCACCTAGCCAGGGCAGCAGAGGGAGGGCGGAAGCCCCCGGCACTGCGGACATTACACTGGGGCGGGGGGAGAGGCGGGGCGCTGAGAGGTGAGGGCCGGGCCTCTGGCTGAGTGGACAGAATCGCCCCGGGGGGTACTGGAGCCGGAAGAGGCCTCGGCCCAGTAACTGTCCACACCCAAGAAATGGGGGGAGGGGTGGTCTGCACTCAGGAAAGGGAACTAGATTCACTCAGCAACCCCCACCCTGCCTCTTTGATACAATGGACATTTTCTTATTTTTTGGCAAACGTGGTCGAAGGTCCCTGCCCCGCGACGTCCCCAGGCGCCAGTGATCTTGAGAAAAAGAAGGTCCCCAGGAAGGGTCCTCTCGTCCCCCCACCGCCTGCTACGGCAAGAGGCACACAGACCTAGGGGTGTTATCCCCCCACCCAGCTCTCAGCTCAGAATCCGGAGGCCGCAGCGCCCCCCACCCTCCAGCCACTCTTGACGGTTCCTGCCCAGACCCGCAGTGGCGTGAAGGTGGCCTTTACCTCCTCTCGCAGACTGGGAGGAGGGTACAACCCGCGCAGCTGAGCCAGCTGCAGCAGTCACCGCCGCCCTCCATTCATTTAAAAAAAAAAAAAAAAAAAGAAAAAAAAACCCCCACCTTTTTTTTAAAAAAAAAAAAAAAGAAACAACACCCCCCACCTTTTTTTTAAAAAAAAAAAAAAAGAAACAACACCCCCCACCTTTTTTTTAAAAAAAAAAAAAAAAAAAAAAAAAAAAAGGAACAACAACCTCCACCCTTCTTTGTAAAAGAACGACGGCCCCTTGAGGAGCGAGAGCCAGCCCCAGCAATCACGGGTTAAGCTCTTTTCCGGCCCCCCATTCATAAAAAATGGAGCGCAGCGCATGCGCGCACGGGGTCTCTTGTGCCCACCCATTCATAGAATCGCGGGCGGCGCGCGTGCGCGCTGGAGCGCTCTTCCCTCCCATTCATAAAAAAGCCATTTTCCCAGGCTGTGGTTGCAACATCGCCGTTGAGGCTGCGAGCGGAGCTGACAGCGCGGAGCTGGCGCTGCGGGACTTAGGGAACCCGGCCGGTTCCTCGGACGGGCGTCCGCGAGTGCAGCCGCGACTGACCCGCGCGGGTTCGGGGATTTACACAGACGCGGAGCGATGCTTGTGAGTCTGCAGCTCCTCAAAGTAAGTCCACGGCCGGTTTGGGGATCGAAAGTGGCCCCTCTGAACCGCGACGCGACTCCCCTTCGGGCTGAGGCAAATGCTGCGCTACCGGGAGCCGCGCTTCGGGTTCCTCCCTGGGTCTGCGCCTCCTGAAGTCTCTGCGGTGCGCCGCAGTTCGCAGACGCCCTGGGCCGGGTCGGCATGGTGCTAGGGGAGTTCGCAGGCTGACACCACTGTTGCCGACCCCGGTCACTGCCAAGCCTGCCCTCCCCGCCCTCTGAGACTCTAGAAGCCCTGTGCGTGTCCTGGAGTTTGCCTCTGGCCTGGCTGCTTTCCTCCTGCCACTCCTCGCCTCGCGAACTGGAACCGGTGGCTCTGGGCTGGGTCTGGAGCCACGAGTTGGGTCTTGGGGGCGCCCTAGGTTTGGGCGATTCGCCCACCCCTGGGCTCCGTGCTCACGGTGCCAGGTCTCCCGTGGCTCTTCCCTGCCCGCCGCAGCGGCCTATGCTCGACGTAGATTTTGCTTTCCCTGTTCCGAGCCTTGACGGACTGAGTTTCCTCCCCTTCTCCTTACCCACTCAGTGGTCAAGGTGGGGCCGGCCAAGGACTGAGCTTTTCTGCTCCCTCTCTTTAGCGAGGCGGCTCCTGGCCGTCTGACCTTTGCTCGGCTACTGCATTTTATGCTGTGCAACTGCCTTGCCTTCTCCTTCCTCAGCCTCCACAGGGCCCGAGGCTCCTCGGCCACCTGGTGTCCCCCTATCCTCCGGCATCGATCTGCCAGGTCCCAGGGCCCCTGGGCCTCTCGGTGAGGCTGTGGTTGGGGCTGAAGGTGCGTTTACATAACGCCGGGCGTGTGGGAGCTGAGGAAGAGGTTGCGTGCGTAGGAGAGATAAGGCTTCTACTTTCCCTCCTTCCTTCTTGTTGGTACCAGACTTGACCACACGGAGAATAGAGGAGGATAGTACGGTATGTTCTGAACAATTCGGAGTCGTCAGGGCCATGGGGGCATTGAGAGGGGGAAGTGGAAAGGCGGGTTCGGCCAACCAGGGCAGCTGGAGCTTGGCTCCATCACTAGGGCCAGGGCTGTGCCCAGTTCCCCCTCCATGCAGACGATCAAAAAGCATTTAGACAGTAGCTGCTCTTGTGCAAGAGAAGACGGTTTCTCAATTCTCTTGATTGGGGGCTGGGGGTTGTGGGCAGACGAGGAGGCAAGAAAGGCGGAAAAATGGTTGCATGTCTGGAAGGGCTGAGGGATAGAGTTCTAGGCGAAATGGGCTGGAGGGGGCTGCATGCAGAGCAGACAGAGGGGAAAGCTGCTGGCTGCCTTTCGCCAGCTGCTGGTTGGGCATCCATATTGTCAGGCCTGGCTCAGGGCAGGAGGCCTCCTGTGGCGCAGGCTCCTTGGAACCCCTTGCCCCACGCTGCAAGAAAGATAGATTCCTTGGGGTCCCCAGACCCAGTGACAGTCTCTTTCCAGACTCCAAATCAGTGGTGCGATTCTCTCCATTTTGGGTAGAGGCCAGGGAACCTGGGGAGGGGCAAGATCTCCCGCACATCTGGTTAGCTGACCAATGCTCCAACCTTCCTGACAGGCCTCTGCGGTACAGAGCTGGAAGGTAAGAGACCTAGAGCAGTTGGGAAATAGGGATTTATCAATCTTTTAATAAGTTCCGTCTGGCCTGAGGCCCTACCCAATATTGCACTGGTTGATTTCACAATGTTTAGAGTTCTCCGGATCTTCACACAAATGTTTCACATAAACATTTGAAAATTTCAGCTTCTAACCCTCTTTAGTGCAGATGTGGAGCCGTCCAGGAAAGGAAAGACTATGGTCGCTTAGGCTCTCTCAGGGAGAAAGAAGTTGAAGAGATTGCCACTGTGAGATTGTGTCTCCTCCATTTCCCTTTCTTTGGGAGGGTCCTCAAGCTGACTCCAAGAAAATCCTCACCTGACTGACTAGCACAGTTGAGTTGTGTGTTGGAGAGCATTTTGGTAGCATGTTTCTGAAATCTGGACGGATAGCCAGGATGAGGGAGGCTTTAATGGCATCGTTCGGTTATTTATTTTATTTTATTGTCTTTGAGATAGGGTCTCCCTGTAGCCCCAGCTTGCCTTGAACTCACAGAGATCCGCCTGCCTCTGCTTCTCAAAGTGCTGGGATTAAAGACATGCACCACCATACGGGCTGGTTATTTTCCATTTGAGATTTTAGACCCTCACTTCAGGAGTCACTCCCTTTCTAATGGAGTGTCCATGCTCTTCTGGATCCCACATTTTCCAGATTTCCCTCTGAAATGGTAGCCTCACCAAAGCTTGACTGGTGGGGAGGTGGGGGGAGAGGGGATGACACCCAGACCAGGTCCATTCCAGGCTAAAGCAGGTGAGAGTCTGGGCACTGGTGGGCCTTTTTGCCAATCTTCCAGAATTGGCAGGAAAATGTGGCTATTTGGAAATCACCCTTTGCCCAGTTCATACCTTTTGTTCACTATCTTGTAAACCCGACCTTGAATGTGCACAGAGGTTTATCTGACTTTTTTAAATAGAAAACAAATGAAGACCAAGTGTGAAAATCAGTGACCCAAAAATTAAGGGAAACAAAATCCATTAGTACTTTCTGGAGTGTCCCTTGAAATGTGTTACTCTGGGGTTTAACACTTTGAATCACACATAGGGACTTCAGTTCTAGTTTCTGATTTCAAATGTCCCTTGGTATGGCATCTTTTGCTCCCCAGTTTTGGACTCCCCATAACATGTTTCTAATCTTGTTAGGTAAGTAAGGTCTTAAGCATTGGTTCAGAGATGGCCTAGGGAAAAAGGCCTCTCTTTGCAGGTTGATTTTTGTTTGTTTGTTTGTTTTTTGGTTCTTCATCCAATGTGCCTGTCATGTGTCTGGTGACACTAAAGAGGGAGTTCCATTGTGAGAACCTGAGGGAAGATTCCTGGCCTAGCTTCTGGAGCTTAGCTTCTTGTTGGCATTTGCTTGCTTGCTTTGAGACATGTTGTGTGGGCATAGGCTGGGCCTCAAACTCACTTTTCCTGCCTCCTGCAATCCTTAGTAATGGGTTTAGGTATTTGTTTTGTTTTTTGAGATGGGGTCTTAAGTGGCCTAGAGCTCACCATGCAGACAAGCTGGCATTCAACTTGGGTGATCCTTCTGCCTCTGTTTCCTGAGTGTTGGCATTACAGCTGGGTCCCACTCTGTCCAGTTTACAATAGGGTTTTTAAGGGGGTAGCAAGACTGGTGAAGAACACTGTGACTCATTATATTTTTGCTACTTCAAAAGAGCTACCATACCAGGCGTGGTAGCCCATGTCTTTAATTCCAGTCTTTGTGAGTTCAAGGCCAGCCTGGTCTACATAGTGCGTTCCAGGCCAGCTGGAGGTACAGGGAGACCCTGTCTCAAAAAATACCAAAAACAAAACAAAAAATAAGCAAGGAGACCCTGGAGAACCTATGGAGACCCGACCTTAATGGAGAACAAACTCCCATATCTAGAGAGATCAGCAAGGCAGCTACTGAGCTAACAGGATTGAGGTAAGCTCACTGTTACCCCTGGTTTTCCAGGAAGAGAGTCTAGTTTTAAGGGCATTTCTAATAATGAAAGGCACCGGGTGCTGCATGATGTAAAAGGGAAGGGTATTGTTGGCTCTCAGGGGTCTGTGGCTACCCTGCAGATCCGGACAGCTGACAGGGCTGGGGAATGTATCCGGGACATGTGGCCCAGCTTAAGAGGCTCTGCCATTCAGCTGTGATCATGATTGTTCTTTCTAAGGACAGGCTTCCAGTTGATAGAGGAAGCAAGGGCACTGGGGAAGGAGCACAGATGTTCTAGGTCTAGCAGAGGAGGGGAAGGGGCCCTCTGGGGCAGGTGGCCACTTGCAGAAGAGTGGTTTCCCTTGTCAGTAGTCTGTTTCTGGCTGGGATAAGGGGAAGTCATTTCCTGCTGAATCCCAGGAGTAAGCTAAAAATCTATTATTGTCTGTTCCCTTCTTTGTGGATGTTAGGGAAACAAGTAAGACCATCTTGATGTCTGTGGGAACAACCTCTGGGGTGGGGGTGGATCTGCAGGCTTCTGGTCACATTCTACACTTAGGCTTGGGTCTGTCGTCCTTGGTGGTACCAGTGTTAGTCAGCAGCCTCCTTCTAGAGCTTTTCCTTTGATGTGGTTTCTGATCCTCTTACAGGGGGACTGAGCAGACAATTGTGGGGGTTAATACAACCAGAGGAGAAACTTAAAGCAGCTCAAAGCCAAAGTGTGGTGCTCTGAGCTTTGGAGCTCAGCTGATTTGTTCGATTTGGAAATTAGTGATGGGACAAAGCAGATGAAGGGTAACTGTTTCCCTAACATTGCAGCCAGAGGTGAGCTCTTAAGTGCTAGTGTGGTGGGGGGGAGTAGAGGGTGGTCCTCAGAAAAATTAAGCTGCCTAGAGGCTTTTTGCTCTCTTCCACTGGGCCATTCTTTGCAGATTGGCTTCCCCTAAAGGGCCCTGGGAGGGAAGTCCCTAGCTTCCCTCCCTAACCCCTCCCCCAAAGGTCTTTTTAAAGCAATAAGTCATCATCTGGCTGCAGCTTAATTAACTAAACTGAGGTGGTGTCACAAAGAACCAGGCAACAGTGGTGGAGAGGGGTGGTGGAGAGGGGTGGGCGGACTCTGGCTGCCTGGAGACCTTTATTCTGAGCTGTTAAAGGGTTAAACAACTTTCTGTGAAAGAACCCTCTGAGACTGAATGGGCAGTGCAGAAACTGCCCATTCATTCAGAGCCTCTTGCCAGTTTGTCATTAGCTGACTTGTAAGATTAATTTTAAAGTACAACTGACAGACTTTCCTATTATTTCCCAGCTCCCCTTCCTACCGTAAGTCAACGGAAGGGTGCCCAGATTGTGTGGATATTGAACATGACTCATGATTCTTTTCAGACAGCCTATGTTCTGTTCCCTCCCTCCTCACAGGTACAGTGAGGGTCGAGCAGGCAGCCCTGAACTTCCAGACCCACCTGGTCATAAATCAAGGGGCTGTGTG